AAAACGCTCGGAATAATATTTAGTCTGTGAGTAATTTATTAATAATAAATTATATTTAGCTAATTTTACTTGGTTGGATTTAGATATACAATTGATAAGTGTTTGTATAATTATTAAAAATATAAGAAAAAATAGCTTATCTTCTTGTATCTACAATTTTCACCTTGATACACATACAAACCAAAGTTTTTTATTTTTATATCTTGAGTGACATCTTTTCTCTTATTAAATATTTTTATTTGATCACGTTGACCATATTTTCGTATTACGGTCAGTTGTGCAACTGACTTTTCTAGTTTTTATCATCCCGCATTTTAATTTTTCGGTGCATTTGAAAGTACTTCTTCATCACATCGCGGTGGTGCTCTCGTTTCTCCGCGCATTTCGTTTATTTCTTCATTTCTTCGTCTCTCTGTGCTGCGACCGCTGCAGCCAACGGTTGGGTACTTTTTCAACGTATACTTACTACGACTACGACTACGGGATCACTTGCGTACGTGCTTATTATTACACACACTATTATACAGTACGTTCATATAATTTTAATTTATTTATATGCACATAATACTAGTGGTTTTATTTATACTATATTTATATGGATATAAAAGAAGTTTTGTCCCACTTCTTAAGCATTTTTTAGATATGCAGTTGATTATAATTGTTTTCGATAGCATGCAGTATGTAAAATGTGGTGTTAACGTTGGCAATCGATGTTGTTTGCGTTTTAAGTATCGGCGGACACGCGGCAGGCCGGCCGGTATCTGGCGCGGGCATCTCCTGCTGTTGGTGTGGACGAAGAGTCGAAGAAGTCGCGCCTCCTCGCGCCTCTTCTAGGCTGCAATGCATAGTTACCTACGGAACTATTAACACAGAGACGTATCTAAATAGATTCGTTTAATGCAATAAGTTGTATCAATATTATATAATAGTTATTAGTTGCATTTTTTAAACTTTAATACGATACTGTTGTGGTTGTTACTCTCGTTTGCTCGGACGCACACGCGTTGCACCGGCCTCATCATCAGTATCGGAAACGCGCGCGCGCCGCGAGTTTTCATTTCTACGGATGGGCTCTTCAGGTCGGCTTTGAATCTCCTGTTGAAGGCGAGGCGCGAGTCCGTTCCGCAACGCTCCAATCAACACCGTCGCACGAGAATGCCATCTTTCATATTTTATAACAAATTTCGATTCTAACAGTCATGATCTTTCCCGTAGCGCAAAGCGCAAAGTAACGAAACAAGTTCGAATCACTTAGACCTAATGTTAAATACTTGAAAAAACTCGTATACGTATGTTGTTTTTGTTTGATTTGTTATTATTAAAATAATAATTTTGTACTTGCCAAATCTAGTCGAAGAAATGGCGACTTTTCTGTTTACCATTACGATATTTTATTTTGTTTGGTTGAGTCATACGGTTAGAAATATTCTAAAAATACGTTCGTTTGTCTAAATCCGAATTCGAATCACTGCAGGTCTGAGCCTGATATTCAATTATTTCTAGAATAACAATAAAACAGCACATGAGTTCAACAAAAATAGTATAATAACAAAAACCGATTGAGAGCAGCATATTTTCTAACAAAAAGTTACATTTTATGTAAATTACATTTTTCAATGCAAAAAAGCTCATTGTTGGCGCGGTTTTTTGAACACGGTAGTATGAACACATTATATGCGGTATAATGTCAATTATTGCACAAATGTGTAATAAGCCACTGTGAGTCATCAACACACATCATATAGTAGAGTAATCATGTCCGTCACACCACGTTCAAGTTCAGACAAGTCTCAAATCACTATCGAATCATCTCTTTAATTACAAATTTTGGTGCAACATTACAGATGTATGAATTTAGAATTTGTGGAAAGAACCGAAAGGTTAATTGTAAAATAAATCCCAGGTGATTTCAACCACATTATGGTCAATCCACCCTAATAAATAATTGGTTTACCAAAAGTTGTCGAGTGCGTACTTTAAATTATTTGTTGTTATTTTGACATATTTCCAAAAGGTGTTAATTTGATACAAATCGATAAATAATTTGCATAATTCCAATGCCAGCTTATTTACAACGTTTTGTATGTGCGGCTTAATATTATGTAAATATTGCACATTTTATCATAAATTTTTTGTGTTTTGTGCGCGCGTACAATCGGGCATTCATCGCCAGTGTTTTGTCCGGCACAAATCGGATTTTTATAACTCGCACCGACTTGTTAAAACTTTTAGCAAGAAATAGTCCCTGCATATTCAACTTAACATTAGGTGGTGCTGTAAAAATTAAAATCGTATCGTCTACATTTTGTAATTGCAGCTTGACGCAGCATCCCGAATTGCTGAATGACGCCATTTTGAAAGGCAAATACTGTTTTATTTGATTTAAAAAGTTATGACTCACTCAACGTCAGTACCTGATTATTGGTTTGATTAAATCTATAATTATTGCATGAGTAATTTCAAAAGGTGCCTAATTGTTGTTTTTGTTTATAGAAGACTAAAAAAATGATTTAAAATATTTGATCATTTCACAACGTGTCTGCTTGTAATTTTATTAAACCGTAAATGTCTGAACATCAAGCCGTGTTACTTAACGGTCTCAAGTGATTAATTTCACGCTTAACAATCACATAATTATTTTAGTAAATTTTAATTTTACTGTATATTTGCAACTTTGTATGTTGCGCACTAAATCCTATGTCAGGAAGTTTTAAATTTGAAAAGTTTACATTATCATTTCCGAAATATGTGGCCGGAAATATTAACGTCACATTTTGCATTGTCATCTGCTATCACCGTCGTTATTCACTGAATTTCCTATCAGCACTAAATATTTCAGACACTTTAGTTTAGATAACAGAAAAATTCGTAACGCAAAAGTATTTCTGATCAGTACATAATTTGTTAAATAGAACATTTGTGAGTGTTCAAGGCCACAACCACGAAAAATTGCAAGTTATTTAACAAACTAAAAACGGTTAAAACGGTTGCTCGAAACTCGGTCATTTAAATATGCTGGCGATACGCTTATCGAAAGGGATGAGTTATCATAGCATAATGAGCGTTAAAAGTCGTTATGGTTCGTTATAATTTGTAATTTGCATTATTGCAAAACAAACATGATCGGTGTGATGTGTTGAGCATTAAATATACTAGACTAAATTAATTCGTCAAACTTTATTGGCGTTGTAAAAGTTTAAGAACCCATTTATAAATTACTAGAATTTTTTACATTTGCTTATCGTACTTGCAATCTTAACGACTTTTCACGACCTACGATAATAAATACAATCCACCGACACCCTTTATAAGCATGAATGCACTTAAGTATGACGCCGCCTAATAAGAAATACGTCGTTATTCGCTGAATGATTAAATGATGATGAATAACTGTATGCACACTTCTACGTCTACGCTTAAGACAGCCAGGAATGCATAAAATTCGACGCGATTTGCGATGATTTGCGAAGCGTAAAATTTATTACGAGAGGCGAGGTAATGAGACACGCGCATGTGTGTTGGTATGTTTACATCATGGACGTTTGTGACACGCCCTGTATCATGCATTTATCGTAAATCAATTCTAATTCGTATATAAACAGTATAAATCAACTCAATTAAGTCATCATCCTAATACTTTGTATAAGATAAAGTGGTCGTTTGTCGTTTTAAATTAATTATTAACTGAATTTAATATGTTGATTTGTTTTTGTATTTATTATATTCAAAAATGTATAACATAACGTTTGTTTTGTTCATAATACAGTTTATTATAAAATAACAGTTACAACCGTAATTTTATAATCTAATAATTTCTTGGCTGATGCTTGTTGTGATGCGGAATAATATTCAATGATTCAAAATTCGCACGCTTGTTGATTTAAATTCACGAGAGCTTCCACCATGTTTGCGCAGGGTTTACATTAGAGGCATTAGGAAATGCGCTCGTCGTATGTTTAATCGACGATGACCCGTTTTCCTCGGTTATTTTTAAAGATTTAGGTTGCACTACCACGTGCACCGCATGCAAAACACTTTGTTCTAATATTCTAATCGGCATGCAAACCTACTCAATAATTGTTATTAACAAGTATGCGCTTTACATCTTTGATTTGTTACTGCTGGCTGTAATTTGAAATTTCGAAAAATTTCAGAACTCGAAATGATGATTAATGAGTGAATCCCATGCGTTGCTTGGAAATTAATGCGCGTTTCTCGGTTTACCGAAGGGTATACGCCGGTTTAATGCACGCCGCGTCGTAAACGCGTAAAGCTAAATCGCTGTAAAATAAGATAACGACGACTAATATAAACAAGTTTTCTTTTTTCTTTTTTGCGTTTCGCTATCATTATCGCAATATTAAGCGCGTCGCGCGTGTGTTTTCTCGTGATAAACAATAGAATCAACAGCAATCGAATTGAGTATGAGGGTGTAATTAGTTATTATTAAATGTTTAATGCTTGTCGAGTTGCATATATAACGAGTGTCCGTGGAATTTCGAATAGAATGGAAATTTAGTGGTGGCTTGCGGTGGCCTGCCGGCTAATCTATAATTAAAATGGAATCATCATTTAAAAAAGTGACGCAGGCTGGCCGCGAGTTATGGGCCTGCGTCGTTGGGTTTACAGAAAAATTCATGTGTTACAAACGTTTGCTCCAACTGCACCGTTGAATCGTGTGTGTGTGTGTTTTCTTTTTGTTTGGCGTCTTCGAACAAGTGAAATCCAACATTCAACTCTTGGTTGATGCGGTGGAGATTTGTTGCCGGCACGAGTTTCGATTTCATGTTGGTATCATTTTCATAATGGCCGCCATTTGGATGATGAATCCCTGGATGCATCGATTACTCGAACCGTACGCATTCGTACAATTTGTAATACGCGCACCGGGCCATTAGTGTCATTAAACAAATCGCCTTACCTTTACATTTACCATTCAATGCATAGGATGTGATCTAGGCTCGTGCCCGATGATTCTATTTTCTTCTTTTTGTTTGCAGTTTGTTCGAGCATGAAATCATGTCCTATGTGCCAGCAGTCTCGACGACCACCTCGTCGAGCACCGGGGGTGGCACTGGCGGGAGCGGCGGTGGTGGCGCTAGTGGCACGCCTACTTCGGCCGCAGGGAGGAGTCCGCGAGGATCGCCACAACCCTCGCCAGTGGCGTCGCCTGGATTGGGCCGACATCGTGCGCCAGCGCCACATCGGCGAGACTTTGAAACTAAACTCAGGAACTTTTACCGCAAGCTGGAAAACAAGGGATATGGACAGGGACCTGGTAAATTCAAGTAAGAAATTATTTGCTTTTCTTCGTGCTTTGTATTTAATTTAATTTTAATTTTATAGAATGCACATACGAAGAGAACATCTCCTCGAAGATGCATTTCGCCGAATAATGTCCGCCAATAAGAAGGAGCTACAAAAGGGTAAACTCTGCGTTGTGTGGGATATGGAAGAGGGACTTGACTATGGAGGTCCTTCTAGAGAGTTCTTTTTTCTGCTGTCCAGAGAACTGTTCAATCCTTATTATGGTTTGTTCGAGTACTCGGCGAATGATACTTACACGGTGCAAGTTTCTCCAATGTCCGCTTTTGTTGATAACTATCATGACTGGTAATATATCCTGATATATTTATGAAGGACACAATTTAATTGTTTGTTTATTAGGTTTCGATTTAGCGGTCGTGTTCTCGGGCTAGCATTAGTACACCAGTATTTACTAGATGCATTCTTCACGAGGCCTTTCTACAAGGCACTACTGCGCCTCCCGGTGGCGCTCTCGGATCTTGAGTCGCTTGATTTTGAGTTCCACCAGTCACTGCAGTGGATTAAAGAGCACGATGTGAGCGCTCAGGGCGAACTAGAACTAACTTTGCCGTCACCGAGGAGGTTTTCGGCCAAGTACTTGAACGCGAGCTTAAACCCGGCGGCAGGAATGTCCCTGTTACTGAGAAGAATAAAAAAGTAAGTTTACCCTTACTTTTGTCTGTAAAGACTTATTTAATAATTGACTTCTATAGGAATACTTAGAAAGAATGGTTAGATGGCGCCTGGAACGAGGTGTAGCCGAACAAACTGAATCTCTGGTGAGAGGCTTCTATGAAGTGGTTGATCCCAGATTGGTGGCTGTGTTCGATGCACGTGAGCTGGAGTTGGTCATGGCCGGTACTGCGGAAATAGACCTCAACGACTGGCGATGCAACACTGAGTATCGCGGAGGTTACCACGACACGCATCCGGTTGTGCAATGGTTCTGGCAAGCCATTGAAAGGTAATATTAATTAATATAGAAGTGTCAAGATGATATAGTTATATTTTTCACAGATTTTCAAATGAGCAACGTTTAAGATTGCTGCAATTTGTGACGGGTACATCCAGCATCCCTTACGAAGGTTTTGCCGCATTGCGCGGTTCGATTGGACCGCGTAAGTTCTGCATTGAAAAATGGGGAAAACCCAATGCGCTGCCGCGCGCACACACGTGCTTCAATCGGCTTGACCTGCCACCGTATCCCACATCTGAAGTGCTCTACGAAAAGCTCTTGCTGGCCGTGGAGGAAACCAACACGTTTGGCATCGAATGAACGCCACGTTCACGCAACTATTTAGCAAAGCTACGAACCCAAAGCAAAATTTTTAATCACCAAAAAACGACGATAATACGAATAAGAATATCTAAAGTAAGTTGGATGAGGAGGAAGAGAGCGAGGGCGAAAGAAAGGACTGAGCTCTGAGAGACGCCATTTTGTTACTATGTTACCACGCTCGTAAAATTTGTTGTGAGAAGGTTGCAGCCCCTGTTGGTTGATGTTGGATAATTTTAGAATTCTACGAGGATAAACAAATGATATAAAACGTAATCGTAACTATCGCCGTCCCCCCAAAGCGTAATTTGTAATTTTAAGTAAGCAAGCTGCCTCTACATTATGAAACGAACAGGTATTTCCCGTGCAAACGTTAGCCATACGAGTGGTGGCATCGAATATCTAGTTATGAATTTTTCACACACGACGCTACTGATTTGGTTGGGAATTTAATGTTTTACGTTGAGATTCAAATGCGAAGCTCTTCGTGCTAATGTGATTGTTGCGAATCTAGTCACTAATTTAAACAAATACATGTTGCACATACGCCGCGAATATATTTATGATTATTGTCTGGCGCAAATGTCGCACATGCAAACGAGATTGATGATTTATAAACGACTATTTGTAAAATTGTATAGATTTTGAGTCCTGGTTTTGAGTTTCTTTTCCATGTTTTATTATTGACCTGTGTTTTTTTGTATAGCCTGTTACGAGTTTATCTTATAACATTCCAGGAAATAAATATTTGTTATTTACAAGCTTATATGTGGGTTTTATTTTTAAGAAACAAAAACTTTACAAAGTTTAAAACAAAACTGCTGGCGCTACTGTCTCTAGTTCTGTTTACGTTTTCAAACTTCATAAATTACTAACCTCAAAATCTCTGTCAAAACAACTTGCTTTCTCCGATTTATATTTTAACATTTTCGAAAAATGGGAAAAGAACAAACAGAAACTACGCCAGAATTTGACTGGGTTTCTCTTCACAATGAGTTGGGCAAGGGAATGGGCGACGAAACAACTAAAGAACGAATGGTTCGCAAAATGAAGGAGAATCCATTAGTCCCAATTGGTAATGATATAGTTAGTATTGCGTTTTAGTGAAACAATAAATAGAAATATTTTAGGCTGTTTGGCTACTGCCAGTGCTTTAGTTTATGGTTTATACTGCTTCCGGCGTGGTGAAAGACGAATGTCACAGTACATGATGAGGACAAGAATTGCAGCACAGGGATTTACTGTTGTAGCCTTAATAGCAGGATTAGGATTCACTGCATCAAAAAAATGAATTAATGAAGAAGGTTGGAGGGAAGCATTAGAATAGAAAATATATGTATATAATTTTTCTTTAGTGTTCCACCTAATTAAAACCTGGACATTGTATAAATAAAAATTTCTCTTTTTACGTAATATAAAGTATTTAAGGTTAAATCCATATATTTTTGGATCCATATGATCTGTCACCTGTAAAATTCCACGTGTTTTGATGAAATAACTAAAGATGGCGCTTCATGCGTTTTAACGATACTTTTTTAAGAATTTAATTCTTTAGTTTTGTTTATTTAAAGAGTGAGAAACAGAAAAAAGAATGAAAAACATATGTATCTATTTGATAAGCTTACAAAAGTAGTATTTAATTTAAGCATATTTATTTAAAGTGCAAGTAAAAGTTCTATTGATTGTAAATTAAAGTGATAATATATTTTGATCGCCTTATCAACAACTTCTTGTTTTTTTTTTCTATTTTGTATTAAGAATTCAGTAGATTCAGAGATTTATTGTTTGGTGTGTAAATCTTTTTCTCTTCGTCTGAGAATGAACGAGCGGAATCGCGCGAAGTTGCCATGCAAGGAGGTCGGCGTGGTCGGGCGCTCACGCTGGCGGCTTGTTCACGCAGTCATAGCGCGCAGTCGTCAGCCGCTTGCTCGTCGTGCAGGTCGCCAGTCGCTTTTCCAGCTCGCCTCGCGTTATCACATACACACACGCGTTGGCCGTGCACAGCAGCCGCAAATTGTTTTCACTTCTCTAGCCACATTCACATCGCGCAATCTTATAAAATAAGACGAACAAAAACGCCGCGTTACCGAAAATAAGTGTTGTTTATTAAAGATGGACGTTGCAACGAGACACCCTTTGTGCCCTTAGTAGAACTTTGAAGCCTAACCTCTTCGGCTAGCAAGAAGCGGGCGCCTAACTTCTTCTGTGCAGAGGCAGCTGCGTGTTTTGGATTTTCTTCGCATGGGCTGCGACTTACGCCAGGTTTGTTTGTGAACGAAATCGACACCGCCCGTTAGGTGAGGTTTTCGGCAGAGGTGAACGCGCGAAGGAAGTAAGACAGGAAGTGACAGTGACAAGTCGTCACCTGCGAGACGTCGCACATCAATCGAACGGTACAATGTTAGAAGACAGGAACCAGAGTCGCGTCGGTTTGCTGACGCTCAGCAAAGCTGAGTTGGAGGAGATCATCAGCAAGGAGCTCATTTCCGAGGAGTACGATGTGGACGACACTGTTTTTGCAAGGTAGGCAAATATTTGAAAACATAACTAATTTATTTACCGATGCCTGACTTGAGTTATTTATTTGTCGCTGCATGTTGCGGTAGCATCAGCGGCGCGTTTTACTGCTGACTTATATCGCGCGCATTGTGCGCCGAGCTGCAGAACGGAAATGCTTATTAGTCGAGTGGAACTCGTAGAAAAAGTCTACCAATTAGCCTGGGGCCGCGCAATGCGTTCCACGAACGAACTGGCATAATAAATGTAACATCTTCGCTTGAAGAACATGCCTCAACAAGTTTTGTTTCAGTCGGTGGGAAAGATTCAATTAATTATTGTTAATTTCAACCAGAACAATGCCTACAAAAGGGCTGGAGATGGCAGGAAAGAATAAAATACAACCTTATAATTCTAAGTCTAAAGGGATACCTATATTTTGTTGGTCATGGTTACTTTTGAATGCAATTGATGATATCGCTGTTATGACTTGTCCGGCATGTAACGACCAGCAATTAAACGCACAAATTCCGCGCTAACGGGCGGGATTACACCGTCGACGTGCGGAATGTTCCTCACATTTTATGCAAGTCTCTGGCTGAGAACATGGGAACTGTCGTGGCGCGTTTGATATTTGAATTATTCTTGCGGTAGTCGCGCGTTTGTCCATCGCATGTGCGACACGCACGACTTGTAAATTCGTCGTGAGCGCAATATTGTAAAGCCGTCGTCGGCACATTTTGAAGATGCGAAGATTACCAGCAGAGGAACATTTAAAAATGTGAAATTTATGTCGCGTATTTGCATACTCGTGAATATCTTCATTTCTTGCTCCGAGTTTACCTGCCAGACGTTGACTCATGCCAAGCAAGATGCGCAACATATGGAATTTCTTCAAGAAAATGTCTTTCTTCCGAACAAATGATTGTTGCTGAGTCTTAAAATGTACTTCCAAATTTGTACGTGTGCAATAAAATTCCAGATAGTTGGCTGTATAGTTTATCGGCTTCTCGCTACGCCATTAGAAAAAGTCGACGCACTCGTTTAGTTCTTCACTATTCTCGCTTCTTGGGCCTCTTCTGCAAGGTCGTTCATGTTCCGCCACCTAGCCAGGCAACGGTCGGTTAGTTTAGTCATAGCAATTTAATTCTTGCGGCCATTTTTGGGCGCCTTCTCACGTTCTTCACGCCGATGTGATTTAATAGTAAATAATATATTTCAAAATTATATAGAAATTAGCATAATTCTATTGGGTGTGTAAAGAAATTATATTAATGTTTTGAACTTGAATTTTTTCAAATTTATATTGCTTTGTTAATTATTGTATACGATGATTAATCGATGAAATGCACACCACGCCACATTCTATGACACCATCTCACTCTTATTGATGGTGACGCGCTGCGTCGGGAAATTATTATTTATTTCGCGTTTACCTGCATTGAAATATGACGCATCGGTTAAATTTCCAACTGTTTATAAAAACCTATAATTATGAATTTTTCTTATTTTGTACAAGGAGTATTTAATATTACGTCTGGTAATATTACCCTGAACTGTTTTCCTGTTATCGATGTTATCTCGGAGCTGCTGGATGATTGTTTATATTTTATTGTTTACACTCTGATTTAATTATCGTCCAGATAAATAAACAAGCGCATATCTCAGGATAGAATTTCTCAACACGCTCTCCTGTAATCATTTCTAGATTTATTTATGTAATTCTCACATGCACAATGAGTCTCACGTGACTGACACGACAAAGAGATGTAAGGCGGCGGAGTAATGAAGCGCAATGCGGTGTCTTAAATCAAAACTGAGTTGAACATATTACGAGCCTCAACATCAAACGTAAACATTATAAACAGTTACACAAAGTATTATTAAATATTTTTTCCAGGTACATTGCAGCATTAACCAAACGTCGCAATAATAAAAGCATTTTTTCAGTTCACTATGTGAAGTTAATCATGATTTGCGGAATTTCATTGACGAATTATTGATTTAAAAACAATGTATCAGATCACTTAATTATTTACAATAGTTTCTCAACATTCAGGTCTTGCATGTTTTGCTTAGTCTGCAGAAAAAATAACGTAGTGTGTAGTTGGTTAAAATTGAATATGGGTGAATTGTTGCCCGCGAATGTGTAATAATGCAATAGTCACGGTGTAATGAGTTTAATGCAGGCGTGCACGCACGCAGCGGAATATTGGCCGATGGAGCACGATAGGCGGCAGAGTACGAAATAAAAATTCAAATATGCAAGGTTAGTTGCGAGCTTGTGTGCGCTATGCTTGTGTTGCGCTGTCAAAGCGATTCGATTCCAGTTGAATATTTGCCAACTACTTCGATCGTTATTATTTTAATAAGAGTGCAATGTGCAACGAATGCAATTGCGGTTATGCATAACAAAGAAGCATGAATGAAACTAATTATTATCTATTCATTATTAAAATATTGTTCTATAGAATTATGCAGATTTAAAAAATCCACATTTTTACACCTTTTCAATTTCTGAGACATTTGTAAATAAGTAAAAACAGATAATGTTTAATTGTATTATTTCGATTAATTTTATTTTGATGACTAGCAATGTTTCGTTCTTTCGAGATTGACAACGTCACGATCTTAGTGATGACGTTATGAAGACAATCAGGAAGTTGTTTTTAATGCGTCGGCATCGAAACAAGTAGCGATGAATGTAGACACGATCATGCATGCAGCATCCAGCAACTGCAAACCGCCGCGAGAAAAAAAGCACGACTACATACACAACGAGAAAACGTTGATGCTGTTGCTGCAGCGTTGGAGAAAAGCGTTACTCTTACGGTCTTGCAGTGTTACCTTTACGGTGTTTTCGTATGTATCTCGTAGCGAAAAGGTCGAGGACGTTGGCCATGCAACAGCCAACAAACACTAGCGTCGAAACGATTTACACTCGGCTATAACTCTACTTAAACATTCATTACTTAGCATTATGCACATTATTCAAATACAGTTGGAAAATCCAGTTCTGTTCTGGATGTTTGTAATTGTGATTGCTTTGCATTCGCAATAAAAGAGACCAAGCATAAAAAATGCAGAAAAAGAAAGAATCATAACAACTGGTCGGCAGTTGGTAAACGGTTCGATGTGAGTAAAACGCGAGCGCGAGCGTCGAATGTAAATTGCGTATTATTACGATTATTACGTGCGCTTACAATAAAACCAACCTATTGCACGACGCAGAAGTTGAATGCAATGCAAAGCTGCAGCGAGCGTATGTGCGCATGCAATTAGAGTAGAGTACCTACCCTCCACTTCTCTGATTTACCTATTAGCGTAAATCATAATAAACTATTCGCGGAATTACGATATTGTTTTCCTTAATGTAATTACTTTTTCATTTTGCGTCATTAAATACTATAAATTATATTATTGTAATTACAAATTTTATGTAAATAGTATATTACGTTTCAAGTGCGCTAAATGACAGTTTACCCATGAGTTTTCGCGTTAGTAGTTTACGTAGTTTATTTACTACATGAAGTAGATTTATCTTCGGATCAGAACCATTTATTACTTTGATGTATAGGTGAAGTAGACTGAGATTGGGAACATGCTGAAGAAGATTTTGAGTTTTATAGCTGCCAATTAGAGTTTCTATTATAATAGGCCGCATCAAAAGTGAAAAAGTCAAAAGTATTAAGTGTCCGCTATTTTGGACAGTCTCATACCTTTAAAAATGATAATATAAAATTGAAAGTTTTGCTTGGACACATTTTTTAAGCTGCACATTACTTGTAAGATGAGCTTGATTGTTTTTCTTCTCTTCTAGGTATTTATTTCTGTATACATTGAAAGCTGATGTGAGCCGATTCCTACGGCGTTACTTTTTCGAGTACTCGCCACAAACCAGCATCAGCACTAGATCAGTAGGTCACCCTGGAATTCTCATTCGATTCCGACGTTTCATTACGAGTCTCGCGTTATGTTATAATATTCGACTCTACAATGATACGTTCTCAACGCAAAAACTTTGCACGAAACGAGGATTACAAGAAGAACAAAAGCAACAAAAACTTACATTATAGAGAAATATTCCGAACACAATTTGAACTGTTTTAAATAGAAAAGTTATTCTAAAATTTCATTATGAGATTATAACTTTTAATGCTGATGACTGATTGATTTTTAAAATTTTTAATCAAAATATTCCAACAGAAAAATGAATAGAAAATTGATGATTTAGGTCATTCATGTTTGTGCACGTGATTGCGATTGTTTATAAAGTTTATTATGCAAGATGTTGATTTAGTAGAATTAAACGTGTCTAGGAAAGTTGATTTATTGTCTTCTAGTTGTTTGTGTCAAACGATTGTTTTCCTATTAGGGTAATCGTAACTGCAGCGCCACGCGTTATCGCTGAAGTGTAATAAATTTGATCCCAAAAAATGTACTTTACGAGCTTGCCCCGAATTTACAGCGCGGCGGCGGTCAACGCGGACGCGCAATTCGGTTCAGTGGAACTCGCTTATTCAATTACGAGTTGAACTCTGAATGGTAACATGCCCGCCAAGACGTGTATTATGAAAGAACAATTCATATTGTTCTGCATTTGTTGAAGGAGGCAATCTTCTACCAGCGAAAACAATACATTTGTAAATTATGGTAAGAATTATGTTCACTTTGTGCGCTTAACGTAGAACTTCTAGTTCGACTTTGTTTTAACGATTTCAAAGTTTCATTTAGGTTTGTATAGTTAAAAGTTGGCATTAGCATAAAAATGTGTGGCCCCAATATTTTCGTTCTCTTTGGGCCGTCTGATGAGTTTGGAGCCTGCCGTTTCTTCGGCGATGTCGATGAGTAACCTCGATTTTTCAAGTCAAGTTTCACATCGCGACGCGGTGTCCTCCGAAGTCGCGAGTCGCTTCTTCAACTTCTTCATCTCTTACCTCGATGTGTGTTGTGAGAGAATAATGAGTACTTAAAACTTAGCCTTGCGGGCTTTTATAAAAGATTTTTTAAATATATACAGTGTGTTT